CCCGATTCTCAAACACCTGCAATCTGTGTTCCTCCCTCTGAGTGAGAGACCATGTTTCGCACCCATACAAAACAACAGGCAAGATTATTGCTTTGTATACTTTAATTTTCAGGTTCTTAGAAATCAGGCGGAAGACAAAATATTTTGAACTGAGAAGTAGCAAGCATTTCCAGAATTTAATCTCCTCCTAACTTCCTCATGAGTGTCATTTTGATTTGTTATTGTTGTTCCCAGATGTTTCAACTGTGTAACATCAACGCAAGTGGAAACCTGTATGGTACTCCAATATGGAGTACACAGTGCAGTGAAGGCTACACGCATTTTCCAAACGCGTACCGACCGCCACCAAAGTTCTTACATCGCAGGTTTTACCGCACGACATACGGCCAGAACAGATCACGCGGTACAGCGACTGCCTACAGGGTTAGACACCCAACAAGGTCACCAGGTCCAGACCGGTCAGGGTTGGGGGGCACGTGTCGCCAACCGGTTGGTTTACAACGTGAGAACCGCGTGCTCATCAGAATTACTGTCGCATTCAGTAAGTTTCAGATCTTCGTGAGTCTTGGTAAGTACTTTGTGTTACGTAAGCAACGCGGTGATACAATAAAACCACAGAGAAACTGCTATCTCAGCTCGTGTTGCGACACAGCTAATCCGCGTGGTTTGCTAACGGGCGCCGCTTAAATCCACACACCTTCCTCACCCTCGTACCGTTCAGTCCCCCCTAATACGACAATCCGAGTTATGGCACCCACAGCCGCCATCTGGTGACGCTGATGATGTTATATCATCACAGTCCCCTTGAGTCGCCCTGTCTATCGCGAGCCGAGGCCTAATATGTCTTTAAATGCTTTATTGGCAAAGAAAACGTGTCTGTATTTAGCATATGTAGAGGTCGCGCGAGTAGTGGTGGCTCCTACATGCGCGATGCGTAAGCCGAGAGAGGGGAGTTCAGTAGTAGTGGGGTGTCGCACAGCCTCAGCTGTGGTGACGCACAGATCTAAACACAGATGGAGCTACAAACCATCTGAAACTGACACTCCTCTAAGCGACGGGTCCATCTCACACGACCAAAATCAGTCCTTTGCGCAAGTGTCACCACTTCTCGCGCGACCTATAGTAAATTACACTTCTGATATATTTAAATTTGCTTTACCGCGGAGCCATGAACTTGACAACAAACGTTTGAATCTTACGTCATAGAACATTTTGTTTTTAGATTCCCCTGCAATATCGAAACGCACCGATAGGTGGAGAGACTCATATCGATATTTTTTTTCTACACATCGTTGAACCGATAACATCCGTGACCGACAGAATGCAAGTCACGAATCGATCAGGACTCAGTCTCTTTAAAAACGATTCATATTTAAAGAGCGAGGTCGAACCACGTCACGCAACTTGCACGTAAGTTTTCGCAACACCGCGTTGCGTCATCGTGAGATGATAACATCCACGAGGCGTATAATTAATGCACGGGTGCACCAATCATCGACCGATCTCGTGGCGGGCGGAAGGTGACTGACTAGCACCTCGTCTTTGTTTACACAGGGTTCGTTCTGAGGCGAGACTGAGGAAGATAAGTGACACTGCCTCAGAAGCCTCCTACCATTGCGCATGCGCAAATCAGCGTTCACGCGAAGAAGAATTTGTCTGTAACGATGAAGGTGTGTTTGTGGGGGTGTAGGTAAAGCTCCACGCATTCTAAATCTCACGCTTCGGCACACGAAAAAATCCGGTCTCTGCTGGGAATCAAACCCCGTGGTTATTTGACTGTCTCACGAGCGAATCTACACAATTTGCACAGATTTTCGTTCCTACGAGAAACACATCACAGATGGCGGTGGATTACGTCTGGAAATTCTGTCTGGGGGTGAGGGGGGAGACTCTAAGGCCGAGACACTGTCTGCCCTCCAGAAATGAACTCATAGATCATGGACGTGGATCACGAGAAGTAATGCACTTCAAAAGATCACTGCTCCCAGGTAATGTTCGTAATCGAAATGCTGAGGTGGATATCTTAATCTGAGAGACACCATACGAGAGAATAGAGAAAATTACACAATAAAGGACTGTAGACATACTCTACTTTTCCCTCTTGTTCCGAGGATTAAATTAAGGACGGTGAGGTTGGTAAAAAACATGGAAACAGTGGATTTATAAAAAAAAAACTTTTGGCCACGAAATCTCACGAGGACAGAAATTTCTTACAGGGCAGGTTAATTAAAACGAGGGATTTTTGTTATTCTGATTCTCTGTTCGTGGACCATTCGCGTTTTGCATACAGTGTGTAAGCCTCCAAGCTGCTCTCTGCTGGAATAAATCGCGTGAGTTACCTGGACACAGGTAGGAAGCGATGTAAGTCATAACAGAATGCACTGGAAACTTAATCAATCATAACCACCGGCACTGGACGATTAAAAGCAGAATCTAAAAATTTTGAGCTGGATTTAGGTGGCAGGTTGCATCGGACGCTGGCCACGAATTACAACGACGGAACTATGAACTTACGTTTCATATTCAAACAAGGAACGTAAGCTAAAACATGATGAATTGGCCTGAGGACTGCTCTCACAGTGGTGAAGATGTCCACTTGGTCTTCCGGACTATGAAGCTGTGTGGACGTGTACATAAACACCAACTCTCCGGAGAAACATATTATCGCCATCCTCAGCCCTGAACATGGAAGCAGTATGTTATTACGAAACGTAGGTATCTACCTACATGCCCACCATATTCTGACATCTTCACCGACCGAAATTATAATTTTCTCTAAAATTGTGTAATTACGAAACGGGATTACGACTCAGAACGTGCAGACAACAAACTTTATTTGGCAATTTCTCGGATAAGGTGGAAACACAGAATCCACAAGGGCACAAAACCCATTGGAACACAGACGTGAGAACCTTTAAATCTCACCAAATGGCTCATTACATCACTTTTTATTATTAGTATTCTGTCTGACGCCAGGTCCATATGAACAGGATCCTTCCATCCTTTTCTCGGACTGGGTCCTGTTCATATACGTTCTTGGCAGATGATCCAGAAGTGGTTTGCCATTGCCTTCTTCTGTGTGTGAATGGAGTAATTGTTGGGATGCCACGGAGGAAAACTCCGTGTTGCCTAGACCACGGCCTTGCCCAACACAAGTTATAAATCTGAGCACCACCGGGAATCGAACCCGAGACCCCAGGATTACGAGGCCAGCGTTCTAACCGCTAGACCGCCGTGGCTCTCATTACATCGCGCAGTTAAGAAAAGAAACACCAAAAGTTTGTTTGGGTTTTATCGTACATTCGCCATAAAACAAAATATTCGAGCGGATTTCCAACACAACAACAAGCACGTGAAATGTGTGCTATTTCGAAATGAGGCGACGAATGGATCATATCACACGTGTGCTAAATGCTTTGTATCAACTGAGGCGTGTGATAAAGCTTCAATGCCACTACGACGTTGAACACGTCCGTCAGGCGAACCGAGCAGGAACGGGACAAATCCTGTGCCACCTTGCTCGCCGGCTGTGTCCAGGGTGAGAAAATCGAAGGCAATGTCGTGATCGGGCATGTAGCAACGCATGGGAGAGGTGAAAACTGAACAGTTTTCCTCGAACACTCATCAGAGGAGTCGGTATTATGATACTCCTACCCAGAAAAACGTCATTCAATGCAATCGTACTGCTATTACAAGTAACGTACTTGAAGCTTTAAAACATTATCAGCTGTTATATCAACACAAAACTTACGAAACACATTCTATCAAATAAGTGTGGCTCTAATCGAACACAGACTGGCCAATGGAAGAGCTGGCTTGAGGGGGCCTGCACTCAAGAATCAGAACACGTTCACAACTGAAAACGTCTGCGCAGCCTGAGCGAGCAGCGGCTAAAAACGGTGTCGCTTCTGACGTAATTTTTTCGTACTACGACACGTGACAGAGTCAATGGCACACCCTGTATCCTCCGCCATGTTCGAGTAGCGAGACACCTGATGATAAATAGAAGTTCCACAACTTTGATCAATAATGTTTGTAAACACGGGCAAAACACTGTGTACAGTGAGAAACGTGTTCCGGAACAGTTCCCAAGAAATGTGTAATGTCTGACATACCTAAACGAGGGTAAGACAGGAACAACACGCATTTTCAACACTGGCTCTGTGCAAAGTCGTGTGGCACTTCAGGGCGAGCGAAGACGAAACCATCGAGAAGACGGGATGAACCTCACAGAACGCTCAATGACGGACGGTCAGACCCTGCAGTTGCAGACACGAGTAAAAAGGCCTTTACTGGAAACGTCGTGAAACTTTGTTCCCTCCCACACAGCACGCGTTCATTTTCGAAGACAGAAAGGAAATTCAGGTACAACCCCTTCATAATGCGACTCCTTGTTGAAAACAATTCGAAAATATTACACAACGCACGTCCTGCGACCTCTAGTTCCCATGATGCACCACGTCACCGTCAAACGGAGCACGCAACGGGGGGGACTCGAAGTTAACAGTTGGGGTTCCAAGACAAAGTTGTGCACATTTTTAAAACAGGGCACGACCACTTCCTCCCGCATCAATAACCCACATTGAGACGGCCAGTCGCAAGACGTCACTTCGTTACGCGTTTTCCCAGGAAGATAACGAAAAGCTTTTGGTAGCCTACCTTGCAACTTGGCCGCGGTGGAAGCGAGGAGGCCCTCCAGGGACCGGGAGTTGTGGTGAAGCAGCGCCTGGAAGTCTTTGCGGACGATCAGTCGTAGTTTCGTCTCCATCTCCAGAGTGCAGCAGCTCTGCGCCGACTCGCAAACACTCTGCGCTGACCCTGCAAGACAAAACACGCATCTGTAACACGCATGCGCGACAAAGAACATTTCGTATCACACTCACTTTAGGGCGGTATCGCACTAGGATGCCATGGCAGCGACACCAACAGCGATGTCATGGCGTCCAGCTGCCAGAAAAAGACGCCCGA